TCGTAGTCTTCGAATATTTTTCTCTTTTATTTTTACAATGGTATTATGAATAATCACTATTTGATTATGAATTTTAACATCAATTAATTTTTTTAAAAAACTCAAAATATAAATTTATAATCGCTGCTGATATTTGTAGAAATTAATTTATGCGTCACCTGTTATTTAAGTTTATTGATAAGTGTGTTCTAAAATTGTCTAAATTTAAAAAATATACTAAAAAGATTAATTGATTATAATAATACCGTACATTAATAATAAATGCTTGCCGTGACGTACCAGACTTAATATTGGTCAGTTATTTAAGAGCATGATTGAAGAATTTCTGAAACATTCGATTATATTTATCTGAATAATTTATTTGTTTGTTTACCATTAGGTATTTACGTAATAGATAAGAAATCAAAGTAACAAAAAAAAACCCTTTTTTTTTTTTTTTTTTTTTTAACACAATTTACGGTACTGCTTTGAAAAAGAATGCCAAATAACTGATTTACCCATCTTATAATAAAATCTAGTCTTGCATGGCTTATTTTAACTCCACCCCGCTACTCCTTTACTTTTCTCTTAAACATTCCTTAATAGTATTTGCTAAAACGTGAGAATAAAAGATTACAAGTAGTTAAAGTAATAATTTCTACTTAAACATCCGTTAAACGATCAAGACTATCCAGGAAATGGCTACACGGTATCGATTTGAAAATATTTAATTCTTAAACTCACTGATGCCTTTTTTCGGCAGTAGATTTTCGATAAGGCTAGAATGAAATATATTGTTTATATAAGGTATGTGTAAAGGGTTATTTTGAATTTTTTGAAAGGTTTGGATTAATTCTTATGGTTTTAACGAGGGGAATTGGTTTGTATAAAGTTAAGCTCAGAAATGTAGCTTATTTACTCATTTATTCTCCTATTTTATTTGCGATGAGAATGAAAAGGTGGTTCTGAGAAAATGAATAATATGATTATAAAGAATCAGATGTATTGTAAGCCAGTTCGGTATGTTGAACTTGAGTTAAATTTTCCAAACATTCTTCTAGATCTGCGACTTCTTTTTGTTTGTCTAAAAGTGTTTTCAACTCCTCTTCTGTTAATTTTTCGCTTAAAATCTCTTTCAGTTCATCTAGCTTCTTTAAGTCTGAATTATCATTATTATGACAAATCTTATAATTCTTTTTAATCAATTTTTCCAAGGTATATATTTCTGCTCTGGAAAGTTTTTGTTTGGCAGAATTAATTAATCCATCCAATTCTTCATTTTTCGAAGGAATTTGAATAGTCAAGTCTTGGACTTTCAATCGTCTTATTTCAGTTAGAAGCGTGAGAAAGTTATATGGAGTGCCAAGGTGGTCATATCGAGTGTCGGGGAAAATTATATCATTGATTTTGTTTATTTCTTTACTTGCACGAATTTGGAGTTCCAAGTAATCTTTATTGGTTTCCTGAAAATCTTTCAATTGTTTCTTGAACTCTTCCTGTTTTGAGTCAAGGTAAATTAAATCTACTTTACCGAGTTCCTCCATATACCCCACAGCAATTTTGGCATATTGGCCTTCGTCATTTTCTATAAATTTTAGAGTATACTCGGCATAATCATGATAAACGCCGTTATAAACTTGGGTAATCTCTTTTAAAAGTTCTTTAAAACTGTCGGAAACTATCATCATTATTTGGCTTCTTTCTCTTTGCCTTCGTATATTTATAAAACGTCTTAATTTACGTACTTCAGTCGATATGCGGTCAACTTTCGATAAAAAGAAAATGCACGCATTGTGTGACAAATACTAATATTTTTTCATATCGAATGCCTTATTTGGAAGGATTGGCACTACAATTACGCACCCTATTTGAGTTACCTGAATTGCATAACTCCAAAAGTTATTTTAAAGCTTTTTTTTTTTTTTTACTAAATAATAATTAGATTCTAAAAACGTAATAAAATTTAAGAGCTTATATTTTATATTTTTTATTAATTATACAATGAATAAAATAAATTAAAAAATTTATAAAATTTTAAACATTTTAATTTTAATGCAATTTGAATTTTTTTTTTTAAAAAAAAATTCTTGTTTATTATAATTAATTTGAACTTCAAAATCCATTTTGAAAATATATTGTAAATAATTATTATTTTTATATATTTTTATATATTTTATGTTTATAATTATAATTTATTTACTATATAATAAATAGTACTTTACAAGTCAAATTATAAATTTATCTAATCAAATCCTCTAAAAATCAACTTTTAATACTGACAAATCTACATTTTATTATAATTGCAAATTATCTATACTTTTAAATATATTTGTCTAGTATTGGTCAATTAAAGTTTTGCAAATAATATAAAGTAATTTGTATAAAAATTATAATATACTCAAATATCTAAATATATATTTATCACATTTAGTGATAAAAAAAATAAATTTTAAAATTGATATATATATATTTTTTTTTTAACTGGGTGGCTTACACCTTGTTTATTAGATATTGTTATGAGTACGTACAAATTTATTTTATACAA